ATCTAATGACAGTTCCTGTCACTTAACCTAAAATTGCAAAAAATTTCATTTTAACCTTTTGACCTGCGTGAAGAGCCTCCGTGGCGCAATTGGTTAGCGCGTTCGGCTGTTAACCGAAAGGTTGGTGGTTCGAGTCCACCCGGGGGCGGTAAATATTTTTGCAAATAAAAGAAGAAAAGTAAACAGTGAGGACGCAACATTATACAAATAATAACATTGACGCAGATACTTCTTTTTTTTGCATGTCAAAATTTCTCCTCAATATAATGACAGTTCCTGTCACTTAACCCGTGTAGACGCGCGCAGTGGGTAAAACTTATTCATACTTAAAGTTAATTGTTTTAACCGACTTGTTTTTAAAGTTACGTGCTGCCGCCCCTCAGTACCTTCCAAATGGAATAAACTAAATGAATATTCCTAATTGTGTACTAAATGACTTCTAAAATAATCTTTTCAAAGAAATTATACATTATAATTACATAAGATAGCATTTACACTGATGTAATAGATGGTGGGTAAAATATACCCTGCGCGCGTCTTCATGTAATAAGAATGCGCGCGCGTTCACAAGGGTTAACCTAAAATTGCAAAAATTTCATTTTAACCTTTTGACCTGCTTAAAGAGCCTCCGTGGCGCAATTGGTTAGCGCGTTCGGCTGTTAACCGAAAGGTTGGTGGTTCGAGTCCACCCGGGGGCGGTAAATATTTTTCCAAATAAAAGAGAAAAAGTAAACAGTGAGGACGCAACATTATACAAATAATAACATTGACACAGATACTTTTTTTTGCATGTCAAAAATTCTCCTCAATCTAATGACAGTTCCTGTCACTTAACCTAAAATTGCAAAAAATTTCATTTTAACCTTTTGACCTGCTTGAAGAGCCTCCGTGGCGCAATTGGTTAGCGCGTTCGGCTGTTAACCGAAAGGTTGGTGGTTCGAGTCCACCCGGGGGCGATAAATATTTTTGCAAATAAAAGAGAAAAACTAAACAGTGAGGACGCAACATTATACAAATAATTACATTAACACAGTTACTTCTACTTTTTTTTTTGTTATATTGAATTATAAACGCAATTAAAAAATACGTCAAAAACGGTAAATGTCAGATGTGACAGGCAAATTGTGTAAAGTCAGATTAAAACTAATACCGCACCGTTTAATTTGGGCACAGTCCAATTTGCGGTTTGCGATCGATCCGAAACGCAATCGACTATCCATGCGTGTGCATATTTGATACGCGCAACGAACCGTGGAGAATCTCTGTCCCAAAACGAAAAACGTCAATGTGTTAAATGGAACATCAGCAAACGCACATTAACGCTTTCGAACATGCATGTTTACATAATTAAAATAATTTCATTTCACGGTAATTTCACATTTAACATACATAACCTAATTCTAACATTTGACACATTTCATTATATTTTGACATTTTAGATAACCTAATTCTAACATTTATTATATTTTGACATTTAGTTGACGTATATGACAGTTGTGCAATGAAATTGGAATAGTGTTTGTGTTCATTGAACGATGCTAACTGTAACATGTAAAAACCGATTTAAACATCTGAAATGATTCGAAACAGGCTAATAATTTCAGATGTTCAAACTTGTCTCTACCACTTGTCAAGTGGAATCGATGCATCGTCATCCACCAATATTTGCGTTGCCATAGCCACCATCAGTTGACTACATATATTAATCGATGTATATTACAGTTTCCATGGTGCTTAAAACTTAATTTAATTTTGATGATCGATGATGATGATGTTTTGCATATCCCACGTCGTCCCTCGTTGATATGGTGTACACTCAGCTCACTGTAAGGTAGAACACCAAACGAGCTAATTGTAGCTTGGTGTTCAAACTTAGAGTGACCTGACTATACACAACGCATCGGTTTTCCCATGATCCATGCTGCAGTATTAGGATACAACAACAAAAACAACAACAACAACAAGAAATATAAAATCCTGTTTCAACATTGTATGCAGCAAGTAGATGAGAGCACTGTAAACACTGTAATAAAGGGAAATTGCGCGTCTCCGGTTGCAATAAAGGAAGGATGGAGGCGCGCCCGCCTTTAAAACTACCACTGCTGTACACTAAAAGCGAATATCCAATATCGGGCGCCACTAAAGTTACACATAAATATTTTTCTAACCTTAAAAACGTTTTGCATTCATAGTTCAGTTTGTCTTCGTTGATGTTTAAAAGCGTATCAGGGGCGGCGTTTGTTCAACATACATTTTTTTATTGTCTGTTATTAAGTGAAAATTTATTTTATTTCATAATAAGTCAATAGATGGCGTTGCAACTATATACCCTAAATTGCTATAAAACCGTATAATAATCAATGTACTTTTCCTTAGAATATTAACGGAAATGAATTGTAACATAAATTTGTCCTGTCGAAAAATATTTGTTTTAAACTGTTGCCAACTTCACGCAAACTGATATAATAATTAATTATAAATTATCATTTGTCGGGTTTTACTAAAGGTGAATCGATTTATTTTTATAATAAGACAAGAGATGGCGTTGCAACTATTTACAGTAAATTGCAAAAGAATAATAATCAACGTTAGGTAATTAAATAATAATGGAAACAAATATGCTATTGAATTGTTCTATAAAATTGTTTTCTCGATTTTGTTTCGTTTTAACTGTTACCAACCTTTCGCAACCAGATTCATTGTCATAAATTGATTTATTTTCTTATAAGAAATGGCGTTGCAGCTATTTATCGTATTTACCTTACATATAATTTTGCATAAATTAAGTTTTTTCTATGTGAAAGGTAGGGCGGATATATATGACGCATGTCCATAAAAGGTTAAAGTTATTTTTTTTTTATATAATAAGCCAACAGATGGCGTTGCAATTATTTACTGCATATTCTTTATTAATCAATTTAATTTTGTAATTTATTTTAGAAATATGAATCACATGTGCCACTAAAGTTACACATAAATATTTTTCTAACCTTAAAAACGTTTTGCATTCATAGTTCAGTTTGTCTTCGTTGATGTTTAAAAGCGTGTCAGGGGCGGCGTTTGTTCAACATACATTTTTTTTATTGTCTGTTATTAAGTGTAAATTTATTTTATTTCATAATAAGTCAATAGATGGCGTTTCAACCATATACCCTAAATTGCTATAAAACCGTGTAATAATCAATGTACTTTTCCTTAGAATATTAACGGAAATGAATTGTAACATAAATTTGTCTGTCGAAAAATATTTGTTTTAAACTGTTGCCAACTTCACGCAAACTGATATAATAATTAATTATAAATTATCAGTTGTCGGGTTTTACTAAAGGTGAATCGATTTATTTGTATAATAAGACAAGAGATGGCGTTGCAACTATTTACAGTAAATTGCAAAAGAATAATAATCAACGTTAGGTAATTGACTAATAATGGAAACAAATATGCTATTGAATTGTTCTATAAAATTGTTTTCTCGATTTTGTTTTGTTACCAACCTCTGGCAACCAGATTCATTGTCATAAATTGATTTATTTTCTTATAAGAGATGGCGTTGCAACTATTTATCGTATTTATTTTACATATAATTTTGCATAAGTTAAGTTTTTTCTATGGAAAAAGTAGGGCGGATATATATGCCGAATGTCCGCAAAGGTTAAAGTTATTTTTTTTTATATAATAAGCCAACAGATGGCGTTGCAATTATTTACTGCATATTCTTTATTAATCAATTTAATTTTGTAATTTATTTGAGAAATATGAATCACATGAAACATGTCAATATTTGTTAAATCAGTGTGTGTTGTTCGGTGTTAATTGGGGGACTGAGAAAATCGCAGCGTGCGTGTAAAAATAAGAAAAAAAAAACAATTGCTTTGCGGTGATTGGAGCTTTGGAGGCGGTCCTGCGGGGCACGACGATTGGATTTACCTCGGCCAACTAAGTACAATCCGTTGGGGCTCAATAATCAAGTTCGCCTTGGTTTTAGGGGGCTGCGGGTGGTCGTGGGTGGCGGTCGGAGCGGTTTAGCACGGAGGGAAGGACGTTTGTTGCGGCGTCGGAGGGTTGTTTTTAATAAAGCCGTCCGCAAGCCGAGGGCGGATCACAGCCGCCCCACGTTCTTGAGCGACGTCGGAATTTCGCTTTCGCCACCCCCACACTGTTGCCAACCTTGCCCCCAATCTTGCATAACACTCACACATAAATACATGAATAAATAAATTTTCGAAAGGAGAAGAAAACCTTTCCTCATAACGGAAAATAATAAATCCGAGAGAGAAAAAAAAACGTGAGAAGGGGGGAGGAATCATCGCACGGTGAAAGGGTGATAAATTCGAATTAAACCTGTCGGAGGGCGCTGCTCAAATAATAATAATAATACAAAAAAAAAAGAATGTGGGGGAGAGAACAGCTCAACGTAAAAGCGTAATTTGTATAAAGTTTTTCATCCAAGAAAGTGTGCGAACGAAAACGTTCCATCTTTCAAACTTATTTTTGCTTGTTTTTCTTTATTATTTATTATGTGTGTGGTTTTGTTTTTGTCACCATAGCAACCATAAGAAGAATCAAAGTTTGCACTTTAATTCTTCCGTTGCGTCGTCGGGGCAACAGGTCTCTCCCTAGTAAGTGAGTAAGTCAAATTATGTGTGAAAGGGGGTTTTTCAGAGTTTGCCAAGTAGATAAAATCCGATCCGCGCCGCTTCCCCATTATCTCAACATCAACTCTCATCATCCCCCCACACAAATACACAACAATAAATAGTTTTCACAAGCGCAAAACTTTCAACGCAAACTATTATCCTACTGCAATCAACCACAACTCATTGTTTTTCATTCACAAATTCATCAAAAACAGTTGGAATTCAAGTAAAGATAACAAATAGATAATTTCCTCATTGATTTATAGTGTATTTATAGTTTTGTAAATCGATTTTGAAAAGAAAATATGAAAGGAAAAGAGAAACAAAAAAAATTGTTTGAAATGTTAATGGAAATTGCGTTACCTGAGCAGGCCTGAGGCGGAAGCGGAAATATGAGGGTGGTGGAGGACTTCCGACGGGCGACGGCGCAGCCCAAGGATTGCGGCTTGAAGGCCCTCAGCTGCTGCATGAAGTCTGAGCACTCCATCAGGGCGACGTCAGCGAAGTGCAGATCGCACAGGATTTGGTTCTTGAAACGTCTCGCCCTCTTCTGGTTGGGCCCCGTCAGGTTCAGCCCGCACGAGTTGCACCGCAGGCATTCCTCGTGGTAGTGATTGTTGTCATACAGCGGAGACGGCTCTGCACAAACACACAACAAAAAGAACAAAACAGAATCATTAAAACAATCAAATTTAACACTTAATTACAATTAAACTGACAATCAAATGCAATCAAATTGAACTTCATAGTTTTAGCTTTAATTTGAATATTTTGTCATTAATGTATCATTTGTGATTAAGAGATTGTGATTAAGAGATTCAATACAATTTGAAGACATTTTGTTTTAATGTATTCAAGTTACATACTTTATAATACAAAAATTGTGAGTCTTACAATTAATTAGATACAATCATATGAAACCTTATAGTTTCAGTTTTAATTCACATATTTAGTTGACATTATATCGTTTGTAGTTTTCGAGTAATTCAATAAAATCTAAGGAGGCTACATTTTGTTGTTTCAAGTTTGACAAGTAATTACAATGAAACTGTCAATCTTATAAATAAGTAAATGTAATCAAATTAAACTTAATAGTTTTAGATTTAATTTGAATATTTTGTCATTAATGTATCATTTGTGATTAATTAATGACTCAATAAAATCTGAAGACACTTTTTTTTTTAATGTATTCAAGTTGCATACTTTATAATACAAAAATTGTGAGTCTTACAATTAATTAGATACAATCATATGAAACCTTATAGTTTCAGTTTTAATTCACATATTTAGTTAACGTTATATCGTTTGTAGTTTTCGAGTAATTCAATAGAATCTAAGGAGGCTACATTTTGAACCCAAATTTAAGTTTGGCAATTTATTACAAGAAAACTGAGAGTAATGCGAACAAATTGATACAATTATATGAAACTATATAAATTTAGCTTCAATTTGCATAATTAATCATTATAATATCTTTAGTGGTTTTAGAATTCATGAAAAATCTAAGCAGACTTTTTTTTATTTCATTTTCACTAAATATTGAACTAAATTAATAGTTTCACAAAAAAGCATATATAAATGTATGAAACCCTATAGTATTAGTTATTATTCACATAATTGGTTAGTTTGTAGTTTTTTTTTACTAATTCAATAAAATCTAAGAAGGCTGCATTTTGTTGTTTCAAATTTGACAATTAATTACAATGAAACTGTCAATCTTATAAACAAGCAAATGTAATCAAATTAAACTTAATAGTTTTAACTTTAATTTGAATATTTTGTCATTAATGTATCATTTGTGATTAATGAATGATTCAATATAATCTGAAGACACTTTTTTTTAAAGTATTCAAGTTGCATACTTTATAACACGAGAACTGTGAGTCTTACAATTAATTTGATACAATCATATGAAACCTTATAGTTTCAGTTTTAATTCACACATTTAGTTGACATTATATCGTTTGTAGTTTTCGAGTAATTCAATAGAATCTAAGGAGGCTACATTTTGAACCCAAATTTAAGTTTGGCAATTTATTACAAGAAAACTGAGAGTAATGCAAAGAAAGTGATACAATTATATGAAACTCTATAAATTTAGCTTCAATTTGCATATTTAATCATTATTATATCTTTAGTGGTTTTAGAATTCATGAAAAATCTAAGCAGACTTTTTTTTATTTCATTTTCACTAAATATTGAACTAAAGTTTTAAACTAAATTAATAGTTTCACAAAAAAGCATATATAATCTCTATAGTTTTAGTTATTATTCACATAATTAGTTAGTTTGTAGTTTTTTTTAGTAATTCAATAAAATCTAAGGAGGCTGCATTTTGTTGTTTCAAGTTTGACATTTAATTACAATGAAACTGTCAATCTTATAAACTGTCAATCAAATCTGAAGACATTTTTTCTAAGATAGATAATCAAAATTACAGAATTATTCGAAGTTTTCTATCTCGATTTTATACAGTCGTGTTCCAAGGGATGTTGTATACAAAAAAATTATATTTATCGTTACTAGGGCTAAGTAATTTTTGAATAGGGTACGGACTTATATTTTTCCGCCCATTCTCTCCACTCGCCCCCTTCGTTCGCATTTTTCCGCCCTTCGTGTGATGCCTTTTAAATGATAAAATAATTCCAGCCATAAATCGTCCTTAATATTTAGACCACTCTTCCCATCTCTCTCTCTGCTCCCATTCCCTCCATCATTCCCTCTCTCTCTCTTTTTTGGGTCTGTGTTTTTATCATCATTATTATTCCATTCCGTCCTCCTTTTATCTCCTTTATACATATATTTTTTGCTCTCAGAGACGTTTCTCCGGTCCTTCTGTCTCTCTTCGTTTTATGGTCGTCGCATAAACGCGTCCTTTAATTACGCCTTCGACCACGCACACTACTTTCTTATTAATACTGAGATCCTTTCTTCACTTTTGCTCTCCTCTCGCAGAAGGATCACGAAGGCCTGTCCTCCCACGGTTAATCGAATTCCGCACGTTTGCCTCACTTCTTTCGAGCTAATTTCATTTTCAACTCGCAGCGTTGTTTACGGAAAAATGAAAGCGAATTCTGCATTTTCCCTTTCGTTTCTCTGTTTGCTCAGACGATTCACAATAAACATCTTTTTTCTTTCATTTTTATAATCTACAATTATTAAACTAATTTTTTGGTCTTAAACTAGATATAAAACTTCAATGACTTCATTAAGTTTTAAAGTTGTTTTCAATTACTTTCGTATAAAGAAATAGTGAAATAGTTCAATTTTTTACTTTCCTAGTGTGTACTTTCCTTTATTAACTTCTCCCATGAATATTTCTATAATATCATCTAGTGTGTACTTTTCTTTATGAAAATACAATAAATTTTTCAAATTTTCAAAAAGATTTCAGTTTTGTTCTTATATTTTTCTAACATGTAAATAGTTAGAAAATTCTTCAAGAAAATTTCTATAATGTCATGTAGTGTGTACTTTCCTTTATTAACTTCTTTGAAGTTTGAAAACTATTTCATCTTCATTCGTATATTTTTCTAACGGTTATCATGTTTTTTTGCTTATTCGATTTTTTTCCCATGAATAATTCTTTAACATCATCTAGTGTGTACTTTCCTTTATGAAAATACAATAAATTTTTCAAATTTTCAAAAAGATTTCAATTTCGGTTTCATATTTTTCTAACATGTAAATAGTTTGAAATTTTTTTAAGGAAATTTCTATAATATTATATAGTGTGTACTTTCCTTTATTAACTTCTTTGAAAACTATTCCATCTTCATATCATCTAGTGTGTACTTTCCTTTATGAAAATACAAACAAAAATCAAATTTTAAAGAGATTTAAATTTTCTTCTTATATTTTTCTAACATGTAAATAGTTTGAATTTTTTTTAAGGAAATTTCTATAATATCATGTAGTGTGTACGTTCCTTTACAAAAATACAATAATTTTTTCAAGTTTTCAAAAAGATTTCAATTTTATTCTTATACTTTTTTAACATGTAAATAGTTTGAAAATTTTTCAAGGAAATTTCTATAATATCATGTAGTGTGTACTTTCCTTTATAAAAATAAAATAAATTCTTTAAATTGTTAAATGATTTCAGTTTGATTCTTATATATTTCTAAACAGTTTAGTCAATTTGAAAATTCTCCAACTCAATTTCTATACTATCATGTAGTGTGTACTTTCCTCTACAAAAAATACAATAACTTCTTGAAGTTTTCAAAACTATTTTAGTTTCATTTTAATATTTTTCTAACAGTTTTCATGTTTCAAATTTATCCAGGGAAATATCTATTCTATCATGTAGTGTGTACATTCCTTTATGAACTATGCTCGATAGCGTGAAATTAGTCTTGAGTTAAGGTAAAGTTATCTTTAAATAAGTAATCCAATTTTACACAAACCAATGATTAGCATTTAAACTTTCGCGTTTTGGAAACGGAAAAAAAAATCTCCGTTTTGCTATTGAATTGATCCGCTTAACGTTAAAAGCAGCTCAATCTCCGTCAATAAAAGAGCGGGCACGGACAAATTACACTTGCCTCCTCCATTCATTCATTTTTTTTCCACTCATTCTTCGCCCAACCAATCGTACTTCTTTTCATCATTTCTTTTTTTTCATCTCGTCATATCTTACGCTAAAAATGGATAGATGTTCGGTGATCCAACAAAAGAAATTGTACATCCATCCTCTTTCTACCTCCCTCCACCCCTCAACAAAAAAAAAAACGAACGTCGATGGAGACAAAGATGAGCGATAAAAATAAATATAGAGAGAGAAAGAGTATAATAATATAAAAAAAAAATTGCGAGAAATGTGTAGGAAATCCCACCGGAGGGCGCTCTTTCTTCTACTTCTTCTTCACCACTCGATCCACTCTTGCATTATTAAATACCAAAGATGAGCGAGGTGGCGGAAAAAATGATCGAACACATCAGAACGGATGAGATTTATCATCGGAGATTGTTCTCGTCCTATTTTTTTTTCTTTTTTCCGTGCCAATATTTCGCACTCTGCTACATTACATGCATCTTTAATGCTTTAATAGCTGGAGTGTACGTTCCCAAAATAAGCACGTACGTGAATAGTGCAAAAAAATGAGTTTAAAGAAAATTCAATCTTGTGCGACATCTGTATTCGATAAAACGGAACTAATAATCACTCTTGGTATCAATCTTAACAATTGACAATTTAATAAACAAAACTACTTTGACATTTGCTTGGGATAGGAGAAAAAAAGTACAATGATGCCAAATTGTGCTTAAATTTCATTTGAAAATGTACTGACTGTTTCAAAATTTGTATTAAAACAAATAATAAACTGAGTCAACTTTTGTTAATTAAAGAAAACTAATTGGAGAATTACTCAAGTTTGATCCGATTGACGTATTTAGTTCGATCATACGCCATCTGTTATTAAAGAAAGAAAACTATATTGACATTTACTTATGTTAGGAGAATAAAAGTACAATGATGCCAAATTATGCTTAAATTAAATTAAATTTTATTAGAAAATGTACTGACTGCCTTCAGACTAGTATTAAAATTGAACCATTTCATGTTAACTAAACAATTACTTAAGTTTTATCCAATTGACCCACTTAATTCAATCATACGCCATCTACTAAAAAAT